GATACAGCAGAGGATTGGGAGAATGTCATGTGGTCAGATGAAACCAAAGTAGAACTTTTTGGTATAAAATCAACTCGTCGTGTTTGGAGGACGAAGAATACTGAGTCGCATCCCAAGAACACCATACCTACTGTGAAGCATGGGGGTGCAAACATCATGCTATGGGGCCGTTTTTCTGCCAAGGAGACAGGACGACTGATCCGTGTTAAGGACAGAATGAATGGGGCCATGTATCGTGAGATTTTGAGCCAAAACCTCCTTCCATCAGTGAGAACTTTGAAGATGAAACGAGGCTGGGTCTTCCAACATGACAATGATCCAAAACACACCGCCCGGGCAACAAAGGAGTGGCTCCGTAAGAAGCATTTGAAAGTCCTGGAGTGGCCTAGCCAGTCTCCAGACCTCAACCCCATAGAAAATCTGTGGCGGGAGTTGAAAGTCCGTGTTGCTCGGCGACAACCCCAAAACATCACTGCTCTCGAGAAGATCTGCATGGAGGAATGGGCCAAAATACCAGCTACTGTGTGTGCAAACCTGGTAAAGACCTATAGTAAACGTTTGACCTCTGTTATTGCCAACAAAGGTTATGTTACAAAGTATTGAGTTGTATTTTTGTTATTGACCAAATACTTATTTTCCACCCTGATTTACGAATAAATTCTTTACAAATCCTACCATGTGGATTCATGGATTTTTTTTTTTCACATTCTGTCTCTCACAGTTGAAGTGTACCTCTGGTGCAAATTACTGACCTCTGTCATCATTTTAAGTGGGGGAACTTGCACAATCGGTGGCTGACTAAATACTTTTTTGCCCCACTGTATGTGAGTATATTACAGAAATGGGTCTATTATGGTATGTTATAATGTACACAGTATGAAGTATGTTGTGAATATTCTATAACTATAAGTATGTACAGGCTGTAGTGAGTACAAGCTATGTACAGGATATGAACAGGATATAAATATGAAAAACTATACAGAATATGAAATAAATAATTTTACAGAATCTGGGATATACAGCTATACAGAAATGGGAACTATGCAAGTTGTAAACAGTTGTAGGATTAAAAATTATCGAATGTACAGAATGATTATTTACACAGAGCTATACAGTAGTGCAGTTAAGATAAGTGAGGGTGTAGATAGTTTCTACAGAGGCTATATAAAGTGCTAGTGGTTGTGAGTGGTGGTTCAGTCCATGTTATTATTGTGTTTGAGGGTACAGTTGTCCATTGTGGGTGTGTGTATGTTCAGTCCATGAGTTTAACGTGGGTCAGATGTCAGGAGGCAGAGTTCAGGAGTCTGACAGCTGTGGGGAAGAAGCTGTTCCGGTACCTGGTGGTCTTAGTCCGGAGGCTCCTGTGGCGCCTCCCAGAGGGCAGGAGGGTGAAGAGTCCATGTGATGGGTGACTGGGGTCTTTGATGATTTTCCCAGCCCTTTTCAGACACCGCTTCCTGTAGATGTCTTTTATGGCAGGAAGTGGTGCTCCGGCGATGCGCTGGGCAGTTTTCACGACCCTCTGCAACGCCTTCCGGTCCGAGGCAGAGCAGTTCCCGTACCAGACTGTTATACAGTTGGTCAGGATGCTCTCGATGGTGCAGCGATAGAAGTTCACCAGGATGTCTGAGGACAGGTGGTTCTTCCTCAGAGTCCTCAAGAAGAAGAGGCGCTGGTGAGCCTTCTTGACCAGCTTGGAGCAGTTGGTCGTCCAGGTGAGATCCTCGGAGATGTGAACTCCCAGGAACTTGAAGCTGCTCACACGCTCCACAGCCGTCCCCTTAATGTGGATGGGTGGATGTGGGTCAGCATTCCTCCTGTAGTCCACGATGAGCTCCTTGGTCTTCTCGGTGTTAAGCAGCAGGTTGTTTCTGTCGCACCACTCAGCCAGACGATCCACCTCCTCCCTGTAGGCGGCCTCATCGTTGTCACTGATGAGGCCAATCACCGTGGTGTCATCTGCAAACTTAATGATGGTGTTGGAACCATCAGCAGGTCTGCAGTCGTGGGTGAAGAGGGAGTAGAGGAAAGGGCTCATCACACAGCCTTGTGGTACACCGGTGTTCATTGTGATGGTAGATGAGCAGCGGTTATCCAGCCGGACATGTTGGGGGCGGTTGGTCAGGAAGTCCAGTAACCATTTGCAGATGAGGGAACTGATACCCAGGTCTGTCAGTTTCCTGATGAGTTGTGAGGGGTGGATTGTATTGAATGCTGAACTGAAGTCTATAAACAGCATTCTGGCGTAGGTGTTGTTGTTGTCCAGGTGTGAGAGGACAGAGTGCAGTGCGATGGAGACTGCATCCTCTGTGCTCCTGTTTCGGCGGTATGCGAATTGGTGGGGTCCAGGGTGGGGGGAGACAGGATTTGAAGTGTGCTAGGACCAGTCGCTCTAAGCACTTAGTGATGATGGGGGTGAGTGCTACTGGGCGGTAATCATTGAGGCAAGATGGGTTGGAGTTTTTGGGTATCGGGACGATGGAGGTGGATTTGAAGCAGGCCGGTACCACAGCGTGGGCCAAGGACAGATTGAATATGTCTATTAAATGAATGATTAATATTTTGAGATATACGCATTTAATTTGTACTTAACGCGGATTGCATATATGAAATATATATTTTTGGAGAAGTTGGAGCTATTTCCATGGCTTTGATGAATCTGACTAAAGGAATGCTGCACTATTCTTCCATAACACCCACATTTTCTTTTCTTTTTCTCAAACACCAAGATACTTTAGATGGTAAATATAAATTTTAGCAAAGCTTTTATTAGGTTCCTGAAGCGACTAACAGTAAACATTTCCCAAATCTGCATTATAAACATAAACAGTATATAGCCGCCCTCTTCCTGATGTGTGATTTTGGTCTGATGATGGGTTAAAAAACCATTTTAACATGTTTCATGTGTACCTGTTCAGTATATAAATGAACGTGTATTCTGAAGGAGAATAAATAGCCCTAAGGAAAGACAGAAAAACAATGGGTTTTTGGTCAGCCAGCGGTTCATTGTCATTCTAGTGGAACAGATACAGGACAGTCAGTGTTGAGGCATATTTTCGTTTGTGTTACTGCGCTAAAAATTCAAGTAGAAAATGATGTGTAGTTACGGTGTTTCCACCGGTAGTAAACCGTCGAGGTTCTTGAACACACACTACCGTAAACGTTTCGCGGTAGCCATGGCAACAGTACACCAACTTCCCTGTGAGTGGACTGTAGCTGAGTCTGGCCTCATCGAAAATGTCAAAAATATCTGCTGTGAACAAACGGGCGACACAGACGCTCGCTGAGAACATTTCGAAACAAGTGGAGCACTGTGAGTATGACGGTTAAACTTCTCAAATCAATAAACTAAGCCAGCTTTGTTATAGCGGTAGTTCAGTCCATGCTAAGCTTTACGGTTCATTGTTTTACTTAGCAGGTATGAAAATACACACTGCCGTCTAGGTATTGTTAGAGCAGATGAAGTGTACGCCATTTTTTTTATGTTTCTGTTTATAGTCAGTAAAAAAGAGGTTGAGTGCCTTATCCGAGAGTTTAACGTCCTTGTGGCGGAGCAGAACAACTCTGGCAGAGCTGTGCACGGTCTGGACCGAGGAAAGTTCATAAGCACACTCCACAGCATCTTTGGACTTACTGATGACAGGATGACGGGTAGAGGTATTCAGTTTACAGTTATTTAAACTTATATTATTTACAAACCCAGTTCCAAAAAAAGGTGGGACGCTCTGTAAAATGTAAATTTGATCATTTCGAATTTGCATAAACTGTAGAGGCAGTTTTTTGTAGACTGGCAAACCTCGGCCCATCTTTACTTTTGAGGAACTCTGCTTCTCCAAGATGTTTTTAAAAAATAAAATAAAATATCCATTCATGTCAGTGACCTGCTGCCAATTAACCTAAAGTTGCATCGTTTCTTTTTTTAGTACCACTTAGTTTTGCACCCTACTGTTGCCCTCTCAGCTGTCTTGAGATATGTTGGTGCCATCAAATTTAAGAGCCAATATTGTTTTTTGAAATAGTAAAATGTCAATAAAATGGTGGAAAGTAAGCAAAATCTCCAAATCATCACTATCACCCTGTAAGTACAACCCAGAATTCTCACCTCCACCACCTTTTTCAGAATGATTAAATTAAATCTTTCAGTACGCTTGTCCAGGAGTACAGTTGGGAATGAGCAGTTTCTTCAGTACAAACAATTGAAATCTATAATTAAATCCAAGACATGTTGTGAGTGTAACTGTCTGTCATTCAGTCTTCAGGACATTTGACAAAGACAACGACAGCGTTGTCAGCATGAAAGAGTGGATCGAGGGACTGTCCGTCTTTCTTCGGGGGACCTTGGATGAAAAAATAAAATGTAACTTCTCAATCTTACTTTTTTTTGCTTAACCTCACTCTCACACCTTCACACATGTAGCTTTATCTACCTAAAAAAAATCCCTGTGTTTGGCATGGCTCAGACTGCTTCACTGTCTACGACCTGAATGGTGACAATGCCATCTCTAGAGAGGAGATGCTTCATATGCTGAAGGGCAGGCTCATCAGACAGCCCAATGAGGAGGACCCTGACGAAGGAATCAAAGACCTGGTGGAGATCATACTGAAGAAGATGGTGAGCTGTTTGCTGCACAGATATAACTGTTTACACATGATTAAAACAAACCAAAACACTATTTAAAAAATTCTCAGGTCTGTAAATAGTTTAGCAGCTCTGCCAATGGTGCTTCCTCCCACAGGACTATGACCATGATGGCAAATTGTCTTTTGAAGATTTTGAAAAGACTGTGAAAGATGAGAACCTATTGCTGGAAGCTTTTGGAACCTGCCTTCCTGACTTCAGGGTAATCTGTAATGAGAATTTGTTAAGCTCTTTAAATTTCCCCATCAAAAATTCTCAATCTTACAGTTTGCTTTTCTTTCTTTTTTTTCAGAGAATCGAGATGTTTGAGGGACACGTATTTCAGGAACAATTCGAACAATAACCAAATCACATAACTGCATACCTAGCCAAAACATCTTTAATATTAACCTCAATGGAACGGTGCTGTGATGCAAGATTTGTTTAATTAAGAAAAAATAAATAAATCCTGCTCTATCAAATCCGACGGCGTGGTTTGACCTTCTTCTCCACTGGTTTGATGTCTGGACTCGATGTCACCTAGGAGAGACGACGAAACTGGATTAACTGTAAAAAGTGATTTAGAGCATAGTGAAAATATTATTTTGTCCTTAATTACAACCAAAACAATATAATCACATGTACCTGCTTCATTGTGTTCCTGATCAGGCTGACAGTTGTGTTCAGTGACTCATCCTCCATGTCCAGTTTGGATGGTTCTGGTAGTTTTGGTCCAATCAAAGGCTCGTTCTGCCCAGAAACAGTACTGGAGGTCTCCTCAGCCTCTTCCATTTTGCGTTTCCGTTTCTCCAAGTGTGTGGTCCGAGGAAGAAATCTGACTGCCGCAGCCTGACGTGCTGACGGTCTGCTCGATAAGGTCTGTTTGCTCCTTGAACTCCCTTCTCGCTGCTCTAATGTGTCAGCACAGGTATTGTGCAAAGTCCCCATTTTATCCTCTGTTGGTAAATGTTGACTTTTAGGCCTATGGTAATGATGTTCTTGGGGAGGTAATGGCAGTAGAGGAAAGCCTAAATAGTGGCTGATGTTTGGAGTCTCCCTTGTATTGTCATTTCCAGAGGTCTGTTTGTGTGTGAGGATGTTGTCGTCTGACGTGGTAGTTGTTTCCGATGAAGTAGGCTCCTCTTGTGTGTCCTCTTTCTGTTCCCTTTCTCTCACTTTGCAATAATAAAATGAGACAGAAAAAAGTGTCAAAAATCCACATCATTCAAAAAGATCCGAGTCAAATGAAAATAAAAGTGCATGCAGATATCCCTCCCCGGATCCAACGCCTCCTGTCATGCTTACCTCCCCGTCTACAGAGACAGCGGCTCAGCTGGAGGCACGAAGAATCGCAGCGTCTGTGCACATTGGTGCACCCCCGCCCTTATGTTGCTTGTCTGTGTTTCATGGAGTATAGTGTGATGATATCTTTGCTCTTTATGTGCTATGGAGTGTTTTTGTGTTTTCTCCTCATGATGACTCATTTGTCAGAGTCACCATGGGCAGAAACCTTTTTTTTCTCCTGACCTTGCCCCTATATGTTACATATTTCACTGTCTACCCTTTTTTTTCTGCTGCCTAGTCTGACCTGTCTCCCCAATGTAAGTTTGTATATTTTATGTATTGTCTGTATGGTCATCTACTGTAGGTCTGTCATCTCAGCTGCAGGCAACTGCAACTGACAAATAAAGCTTATCCTTATTTATGTTAACTGAAGTTTGCTTGGACTAATGAGGAACTAAGAAGCTACTCATTTGAGTGGTGGATTTTGTGAGGCAAAATATAACCTATAGACATAAAATTATACCTCTTTTCTGAGCAGCCCGGATGACATAGCTCCTCCGGTCCTGCAGCTTGAGCCTGGTGTCTTCCACAGTCTCGTATTCGGGGACGTAGCACACATGCAGCACACCACCATAGAAACCTTTCTCATCCATGTGTCGCTTTGCTGCTCTGAAATGAAACCAAATTATTCAGAAGGTCCTTCAGACGTTGCCAGTTAGGCATAATGAACAGTCTAGTGACATCTTGTACCTGGCACTTGTGAGTTTTTGGAACTTTACGAGGTACACCTCTGTGAACTCCTCGGCAGGATACTCGTCCAGGGGCCTGTACTCCTCCACAGCTCCATAGAGGGCACACAGCTGAATCAACTCAGTCATAACCCCAATCGCTGGGACCCCTTGGACCATCAGGTAACGACTCTCTAAATTTATGGTGTAAACCTGCAAATAATGCAACACTTGACTGCGGTACACTGATGGGAAAATGCTCATGTGAAAACTGCGAACAGTGGTTATATTTATCATCCAGATGTGGTTAAGGCTCTCACTGTGGTTCAGTGGAGTCCATAAAATCCGGAAGAGAGCAAATGTTTTTTTAAAAACACTGTAAGTGACGTTCCCATGTAGCAGGGAGTGTCTCACACCTTAAGATACGCTCTTTTCTAAACAAAAGGGTCCTCTTACCTTAACTGCTTTGGCTTTTCTTCCTTCCCTATATTTTGGTCGAGAAATGCACACTCTCTGCTGTTCGTGATGTTTGTAAACCTCCGGGACTCTCCAGCAGCCAGAGCTGTTGTTGACGGGAGCCGCCATGTTTGTGGAAATTAACTTTTCACTTGATGCATTTCAAAATAAAGGTTCATTCTCGTGTTGAATAGGATTCATTCAAAGCATGTCGTAGTTGGACGTCTTATTCTGAAATGCGTTCAACCGAATATCGGCTACTCTGGTCTGGCACACACAGAGCACATCGATCCACTATGAGTTTGTCATACACTTGATGTTAGCGGTGCAGCTTCCTTGACCCGTTGAACGCGAAATAGAAAACTTTGTGAAAATCATGTTTAGCAATCAGGGCATTCAACCCGTAACTGTCACTTTTAGCAACGCAAAAAACTGCTTTTTACACCTTCCCTTGAAGCTAATATCACAGCTTTCCCTGAACGAGGTAAGATAGCCTAGCTAACCACCTAGCACTATCGTTTAGGTAAAATTAGTAGAAGCTTTGTTGACTTAAACAATTTTTAGCTAAAATGTTGGCCCGTTCTGTATGTTGTTCTATTCTTGTATTTTTTTTTAACAAAATTAATGCTGCTGTAAATTAATTTCCGAGACCCTTTGACAGTTATTCACATTACAAAATAAAATGTGACTTCTGCAGTTTAGACCTCGCGTCAGGCTGCTCTCTAGATCAAATGAATTGGAAAGATCAGTTTTTCATGACTCCATTCACTCCACTTCGGCCCGGCTGGAAACGTGCTCTGAATATAGATAGAAGAGGAGCTGAGTCAAACACAATACTACAGCATATGGAGAGAGAGGGTAGTTAGCAATTAGTATTTCAGTATTTGTTTCCTTCTCGGTGGAGCTGTTTTCGTAGCAGTTCCTTTACGGTTTCACTTGGTGGAGACAAAGGACTAGGTTAGAAATAAATCCGGGGTCTAGTGTATCTTTTAAAATGACTTTTCTAGCTTGTATCCTGTTCGCTGTTATGAATGAACAGTGTTTTTCTGATGAAGGCTTTCTGTTTATATTTGCACTTTTTTGGCTAACAGGAATTCCTGGTTCGTGGCTTCCTCTCCTTAAGTTTGACCTTTACTTACAAAGGATTCAGAACTGGGTTAACCCTGTCATTATTAGTCTAAACAGTGTAAAATGGATTGAATGAGGACGATTTGTTTGCTCAAGCATGGTTGCAAGCAAGGATGGTGGTCATGGTGTAGTCTAGGGTAAACAAAAGGTGCTTCAGCAAACATGCAGTCATGTGAAAAACAAAGTACACCCCTTGATTCAGTAAAGCTTGTTGAACCACCTTTAGCTGCACTAAATTGAAGTAACCATTTTATTTCTGTTGTTATTAGTGTCTGACTGCGTTGTGGAGAAACTTTGTCCCACTCTACAGTGTTTGCAGGAATTTTTTGATGCACAGCTCTCTTTAGGTTCTGCATTTCAATCAGGCTGAGGTCTGGACTTTGACTGGGCTATTGCAACACACTGATTCCTTTCCTTTACAGCCACTCTGTTGGAGATTTGCTGCTCTAATTTGGGGTCTTTGCCAAGTTGCATGATCCCATGCAACTTGGCAATGACTGTAGAATACTTTTGTATACAGTGACATTCACAGTCAACCCATTTAAGGTCTTTTTCAGAACCAGCCTCTGGAGTTGTCCTGTGGTCATGGGCCTCCAGTGTTCCTCACCTGGACTCAAAACAGAGCCAGCTCCAGCCTGGGCAGCCACAAAGTGGAGCTGTGTCGGCAGCTAGGAGAGAAGCAGGGCCTGACAGATGGAGAGCAGGTAGAGCCCCTCCGTGAGGAATCTGTTCTTCGCTGTATTTTCAGAAGAAGCTAATTTTCTCCATCTTGTGACAGTGTACAGTGATTGTCAGTTTCTGTCTGGACTTACTAGTTGTTTAGTTTACTGGTTTGTTTTTCCTCAGGGCTTCTTAAGGCCATGTCATCAGGTCTCATCATTGGATCGGGTGTTTGTGGAGCCTGTATCAGCTGATGACTGGGAAATCCTGGTGGGTAATTTAGTGACATACAATATGTGAAACTTGTCTTCATACAAGTTTGCACTATTTTACACATTCTAATAATTACAAGGTGACTTCTCCTTTTTAAAGCACACTTAACAACTATTAATATATCACTTTTGTGTGACTGATATCGCCAGGAGCTCCACAGTTCTGCGCTGGAGCTGCAACTACTGGATCAGATCAGAGTAGTTTTCCAAGATGCCGTGTTTCCTGTGTGGGTGGACAACCACACGGTAATCTTTATCCGAATAGGTCAGTTTTGATACAATTATTCTATGTTGTTTATCAAATAACATGTGACACAAAAATATTGCAGTTATAATGGTTTGCCTGCTCAACTTGAGTTTTAAATGTTTGACTTCTATGACTACAGTTTAATTTAAAAAAAATTCTGCACAGCTTCACTTTCTCCACGTGTGCCCTACGGTCGCCTGGAGCAATTCACAGAACTTGTTGTGTCCCCGAAGATCCGCGCTGAAACTGGCACCCACACACATTCTCATCTAAAAGCCAACCCAAACTCAGAAAGTTTTCACAGACAGCCAAACATGGATTTCTCCTCCCCTTCAGGACCATCATCAGAAACTGCCTCCTCTACTTCTAACAGCCACCAGTGGGGTGGCATAGCCGACCTGAAAAGCCTCTTTCATCATATGATAAAGGGCGCTTATGACCCAGTTAAGGAACAACCGCCTTTACCTGAAATCCCCGCTCTCCTTACGGACTCTCTGTACAGAGTGTGCGGTGCACCTCCCCACTCTCTCAGCACCATAAGCCACGTTGCAACTAATGCTATTCACATCTTTCCTTGGAGCCACAGTTTCAATGCTAGGCTGAGTGAAGGTCACTCCTCAATTACATATGGCCTTCTCTCCAAAGTCCCATCCCCCAAAGAAACGAGGGACAGAACCAAGCAGGCAATGGAGAAAAAGAAGAAGGCAAGAGTTACTAAGGAGACTGCTACGCCTGAAGGAGAGGAGGTGAAGGAAGAGGAGGCCATGGTGGTTAGGGCAGTGTGCCATTGTACCAAGCTGCTTGGATGCAAGGAAAGAAGCAAGGGAGAGATTCACAGTGGAAGAGTATGGGTGAGTATGGTGTCTGAAGAGAAGAATATCTATAGTTTATAAACAGTATTTTAACAATACTGCAGTGCCCTACTTCTTTCTGTTTCTGTTAAAATTTTTGTATCTTTCATTTTTTAGATTCCAGAGCCTCTGGCCAGCAGGCTTAATATCCCTGCCCATTCAACAGTAAGAATTAAGCCAGTGAAATCAGCTATCAAAGTAGCTTCTACTATTTGCCTACAACCCCTAAATCCACTGGTGAGTGCTGGAGTGTACATCTGTGTTACAGTGTCGGATGTAAATGAAGTACAAGGACATATAATTTGTTCAGAATTGCAGAAAATTTGTTCAGCTTCTTTCCTTTCTGTCCATCTGATTTTTAATTTTTTTTGACATTTTTCTCTTCAGCCTGAGGAGGATGATGAGGAGATCCAGACAGCATTCCTTGGTTGGCTGCACACACAGAGTCACGAACCTTTAGCCTGTCTGACAGCACGGTCTGGCACCATCCTCCTACATGGAACTGATGGTGATTCATTCCTGCACTTCCGTTACAAGCCAAAGAAGTGTATTTATAAATCATGCACAGACAGATTTGCATATGGCTATGTAAATTTAAAAAAGGGGGTAATAATAAATATCTTAAATTAGCTTCTTATTTTTTTTTAAATAATGGCCCTTCACTTTTTATTCTTTTCCATAGCAAAGTTAGAGTTTGCTTTAACTGTGCTGAAACCAGAACCACAGACTGAAGCTTCAGATCAGCTGTTTCTGCTAGCACCCACAGTTATCGAGAAGAAAGACATACAGGTATCGCCATGCAAGTGGAGAATTATATATCTGTGTCTTTAAACATTTAAATGAAAACAGATTGCTTCATGCAGTTTTTATTAAAAAATTCAACACGTTTTTAAGAAAAAAAAAGTCTTTGAAGTTGTTCAGTTATCTCTTTCTCTCATCTTCAGGTAGACAGAGAGCCAGTAACCACCCCAGCTGTGAAGCCTGAAGTTGAAACACCCCACTCAGAACTTCCCTCTCTTAGTATTCTTGGGTACGTCTTTTGCTAATTCAGTACCTATGCGTGATTTAAGCAGGAGATTGTTTTTCTCCATCAGTCTCCGTCATGTTTGGGTTTTTTTCCCCAGGGGGATGGATGAGCTTTGTAGAACTGGGTTTGAGTTTATCTCCCATAGCCTTCTGGGTAGTCCCCTCTCGAGAGAGCTGGGTACCACTGGTCGGGGACTTCAAGGTGGAGCTCTTCTCATCACTGGTGCCAAGGTATCTCTTTACTTAACATTTAAGTTAACTACTATTGCTAACACAACGGCTGTCAATATAATTCATTAACATAAGATAAATTGCTACTTCATAGCATTGATGTTTGTTTGTTGTTGGGTTTTTTTGCAGCTTAAGCTCACTGGAGAACACATATTAACCAGTATTGTTTTCTTAAGTCTACAACATGTTGTGCTGTAACTTCTCTCTTCAGGGGAGTGGGAAGAGCACTCTATCCCAAGCCTTTTGCAGGAAAGCTAGAGAAGAGCTGGATGCACACATTGAGGTGGTAGACTGCAAAAAGCTACAAGGTCAAGAAAGACTTCATGAATATTTGCTGTCTGAATGGAAAAGAAGGATAAAATTTTACTTAATTAAAAAGATGTTTTGTTTTCCTTTTAGGCAAAAGAGTAGAAACTGTGAGACAGAATCTGATGGACATTTTTGAACAGGCAGAATGGAGGCAGCCCTCTGTTGTTCTACTTGATGACCTGGATCGTTTGACGCGGTCACCAGCCTCACCTGAACATGAACACGGCCCGGAGGCACTCCTTCAGCAGCACATTGCTCAAAGTAAAATATTTTCTTACCTGTGGGAATGCCTTTTGACAGACAGGATCGATAATCATTTCCTACTTTGATGAGTAATGTTATCTCACTGTGGCTGCAGGCCTGCAGGATGTGGTGGATGAGGTGATGCTTCACTCTAGCCTGGTGTGTCTGATCATTACCAGCCAGAGTGAACACTCCCTCCATCCCTCTCTGACTG